TGTCGCAGAAAAAGGATGAGACTTAATCGAATGACAAGTAAGATGAGAACGAATTTTAGTAGATAGAACCAGAGTCGCTACCTCTTTAGAGTAGTACCCATTATAGTATTTGTAGAATAGAGGAAGAAAAGCAACATTGTGATGATGTAATTATGGTTGGAGGTTGGCTGTAAGAGCAGATCCAGCTATATGTACAATGTGTTTGTGTACCTTTTCTAAAAGGGACAGGACATCATTTCAACAGTCATTTTTTGTTCAAGCTTCTCTTGAAATTTTTAACAAGATTATCTGAAACAAAAGAGTAATGGAAAAAAAAGTTATTTTATCTTCAGAATTATGTTAGCAGAATTATCTTTAGGTATAATTACACAAAATAGCAATGATATAACAATAATCATAAAAAAATGCTTTAGTAAACAATAACAATAAAATATATATATATAGAAAACTGTTTAATAATGTTACAAGAGAACAAAGTAATTCTTACCTTAATGGTGATGAATTCAATTTTATTACCTATACTGTTGGCTAATGATTAATAAAGTAAATTTCAATTCATGAAAATTTACTTAATTAAAACCATATTTCAACAGTAGTCAAATTAAACATAAAAAATGAAGTAGAGCAGAAACTCATGAATGAACTAAAAAAAAAATTATAATTTAATAAAGAAACATTTTCCAATTTTCACAAAACAAACAACCCTTTTAAGAAAAATATAAAAACATCAATACTAGTAGTACAAAATATCAAAGGTGAGAGAGTTTTGAGAGTTTTTAAAACCAACTTGAATACTACCTTCCTGCTTAACCACTTTTTCTCATTCTATGATTGCTTTTTCTGTATATATTCCTAGACTGTGAATAACATGTAAGCCACAAAAAATATGATGCATTTGAGAAATTTAAAGGAAACTGATCATAGTTTTTAACGACAAAAGGCAAAATTGCTTCTCTCCAATGTTTAAATTGGATAAAAAAACTTGAATTAACTATAGTGCGATTAGTCATCAAAGATTTGAACAAAAAAATAAGTTTCCTGAGATCATCCTCATAGTTTTCCTTTTCCAGAGAAAATATCTGAGACATATCATATCTGAAAATATCTGAGATATATCAGTGAGTGAATTTTTTAGCTCTCCAAAATAAGATTGTGCCTCTCCAGAAAACATTTATTCTATCCCAAACGTGTAGCTACCAGATGATGTTGTGACTTAAAACTACCAACCTCCCTAAAATTATAATTTGTGCTATCTGTATGAAGAACATTGTTTGTGCTATTCAGCATAACCTCTCTCACATGAGCTTTTGATAAAAGGTTCATTTCACTAAAAAATTCAGCAGCCAAAAATTTTTTTGGAAGTGAGCCACAGGAAATTCCAGCCATTTTTTGTAGTACAGTACTGATAACAGAATCAACATTATTAACAGAAACATTTTTACTTAAAAAGTCGTAATATACAGTGCGAATTTCATTATTATATCTACCTCTTTCAAAAACATCAATTATATTTTTTTCAAATATGTCAACTCTTTCCTTCAGCTCTTCTGAAAGATTTTCAAAGTAATTTAAACTTTCCTTTAAGAAGGAATCATTTGTTTCATCAGATATTTTCAAAACAGTGTTTTCAATTTTTTTCTTCAAACACCATGCTTTTTGTCAATCTGATTGTGAACACTTTCTAGCCAAATCAATTTCTTTTTCCAATCTTAAATTTATTTTTAACAATTGGCTAATCCTACAATCCTTTCTAATGTCTCTTTTGTTGACTTTTCTAGCATTATATTTTGACAAGATTGCTTGATACTTTCTCTTATATTCATTGCATCTTTTATTAACTTGTCTATTTTGCAATTTAAGGTAATTAATTGTCAGTTTGTATTTTTATATATGATAGGTCAAATCACCAGAAAATAAAGGTAGTTTTTTATCTAAATGGGAAACTGGAAAACTCTCTTCACTGACACGCAATTCAGTAAGAAAATTTTTAAATCTATTTTCTAAAGGGATGTATACAATAGAAGTTGGGGTAACAGGGCACGACAATTCATCATTAGTAATTTTGGCTCGATTTAATTTTACAATGTAATCTTTGAACTTTTTTAAGATCCTTATAAGCATCACTCTAGAGATATTATTCTTACAGTAGGTTGTAAAAAATAATGTAAGATTTTCTAATGTTATGTTATGTTTATTTTTGTCTTTGCAAATTTGTAAAAAATGGCTATTGGTTAATACAAAACCAGAATATTTGAGAGAAATAATGCCATCATTTATATCCAGAAAATCCAAAATATTCTTGCAGGTTGCTGTTTCTGACAACACTTTGATAGCTAAAACTAATATTAAATTTAATTTGAGTGATTACAATAAATCTTTTGTTAATCAAAGAGTTGAAGTTTGATGATGTACCCCTTATCTAGCTTTGTGAAAATAAAAGGTAGATCATCAAACTTAAGTTTCTATAAATAAAATTATTGAAATATAAAATGTTTGTTATACATTTTTCCGTATTTAAAAATTTAAAAAGTCTATCAAAGTACGACTTACATTCTTGACTTATAGAGTGAACCACCATTTCACGTAGATTGTTAAATACATAGCCTAAAAGAAGAGAATTTGAATTTGAAATTAGAGTTCATTGGTTCTCTTACTTAGCCAATATAAAAAAAAATAATAAAAAATGAAAAAAAATAAATGATAACATTCTTATGCATTTTTATTTTGTAAACTTTACTCTAAAAGTTTAGTTGATTACTATTTCTTTATGTTTTGAAAAAAACAGTTTAGAGAATCTACAGACTAAAAACAGTAGTAGAAACAATAAGAATCAAGCTTGTAGTTGAGCATTCCAGACAAAATACCTTTAATAATATAAAATTTTTATTTTTATAGCTTTGAAAACTTAAGTAATTAATAAGGAATATACTTTCACTTTCAATTTTATTTGTAGTTAAAATTTTGGAATTGCAAAATCAAAACAAAAAATGTCATAAAATATGTGAAGAAATATAGATAGATATATATACATAATTTTAATATACAAATCCGAAGCACCAATTCTTTAAGAAAACATAATTAAACACTTGTTTTAAAAAGAGAAAAGGCTGAAAAGGTTCAAGTGGAAATTTGCCATTTCTACTTGAACACTTTCAAAACTTTTTGTCCAACGTCAAATGATTTTCGCTGAGCTGTGAAATCGCTAATATAATAATAATTTATATCATTCAATACCAGTATCATACATCTTGTATTGCATGATTTACTAGGGGGGAAGTGATAATTCAAACAGTATATTTGTAAATCATTTTAACATAATTTTTAAACTATTGATATATAGTTGCATAACTCCTATTATTATCACTTTATACCATTATCATACCATCTTACATTAAACGGTTTACTAAGGGGAGGTAATAATTTAGAAACTAAAAAAGGTATTTGTGAAGCATTTTCAATTTAATATATAACTCAAAGTTTATAGTTATTTACTATTTATTACATCACTCAATACCATTATTGCACCATCTTTTATTGAATGGTTTACTAAGAGGAAGAAGATAATTCAGACGCAAGTTTAGTAATTTATTCGGGGAAAGGGTATAATTCAGACAGATATTTGTAAATAATCTTTACATAATTATATATAATTATTATTTAATCAGTTTGTATAAACAGAAACTATACAACTATCAACTAATTATTAATTATTTTATATGTGTAGAATTTCAATCATTTTTCTTTAATGAAGATCAGACCATCTTACATTGGGCGATTTTCAAGGGGTAGGTAATAATTCAGACAGATTTAAAATATATCGGTCTGAATTTTACTTTTACATACACAGTTATATAACAAAAGCATTAGTAAATAACTAATTAGTTAATATTTGCTTTTTTTCTATTACAACCACTCTATCTTTCCACATCGTCTTTCTTACATTACTTTTATGTAAACTTTTTTAATTTCTATTGTTTTCTTTTTAAATTCTTTTTAAATTCTTGTCCTAAGCGTTTTTTTCTCCTTGTTTATGTTTACAAAATGGTACGGACGTTTTAGGTACACTTCTAACAGTTATAATCCGGAAACGCAATCTCGTTTTGAGTTTTACGCAGTGGGCACGGTGGTTTAAGTTTAAGCATTTCCGGACATTTATTATGCGCATGCGTTACTTTAAAAACAACAACAACATCGTAATTTTGACTTTTTTTTTGTTATGGTTTTTTATCGTAACCTAATAAAAAAGGTCATATCATTGCTTTGAAGATGTTTATACCAGATATAAATTCATAAACTAATAAAATATATGGCCAAGGAAAACACATTAATTTAAAATACTTAAATTTGTTATTTTTTATGTAATAAAAAACGCGGGAAAGTCGGAAATTATTTTATGGTCATCCTAATTACTAAAACATATTAATTAGGCATTTATTAGAATTTTTATGCCTTAAAGCTGTACATATTTTAAAAGAAGAAGGTTTCAACTTTATAATAAAAAAAAAATCAGAGTCCGGTTACTTTTTTAAGTTTAAAAATTTTGTATATCAAATCTTATATTTTAGCAATAAAAAAACATACAAAAATAACTGAGTCTTATGAAACAAAACTAAAAACATTATGCAGAATATGTGGAGAAAGTGTAGATAATGATAGTGTTCTTTTAACAAAACACATTGCTAGAATAGAATTTTGTTTTTTTATCCGAATCGATAAAGACCACTCAAATATACATCCTCAAAAAATGTGTTATAGATGCTTTTCAATATTAAGAAATATTGAAAAAGGTTCAAACACTGAACTAAAATTAAGATCATGGCCTGAAAATTGTAATCTAACTGAATGTGTTTGCTTTAAATCCAATAAAGGAAGAAAAAAAAGAAAAAGATAAGTAGAAGACCTTCGAGTATTAGTTATAAAGAAAATAATTGGACAAGACACAAAATAAATAACATACAATCTAATTTTTTTGAATTTTTCATATTTAATCATAAATCTCAGAATTGAAAATACTGCTTGAAGCAGACCATATAAAGAAATCATTTGGGCCACTTGTAAAAGAACTAGATAAGGTACTTAATTCATTAGGAGTACAAAGACAAGCATACCACGGGAAAAGTTTTGTTGGTAATCATGTTAACAAAATGTTAAAGGTAAAATATATCTAATATATATTTCCTAAATTTATAAAATCTACTCTTTACTAAAAACAAAGTGTACCTAAACTTAAATGTACAATACAATATAAATATATGTGCGTATGTGTGTGTGTGTGTGTGTGTGTGTGCGTGTGTGTGTGTGTGTGTGTAAGTGGAATAGATGGCTTATACTAACATTATTAGACATAACTAAATACGTAATTAACAACAGTTGCTACATATGATACATTTTTCACAATTATTTTATATACTAAATTAGGAGAAAAGTATTCTTGAACTTTGCAACTCCATACCAAACCTTGTAGTCGAACTTGGGTTCAATGACACTAATATACACAAAGAAACTATTGAAATTTGTAAAAACTTCAAGGTACTCTTCTCTAAATTTGGAATTTGTCACAAGCTTATTAACTCCTGCAATCAGTTCAATGAAGATAAGAAACAGGACCTTGGTATGTCATATGTTATTTTTTGGCAGAACAAAATAAATAGACAAAATCATTAACTATTTGATCTTCATCTTTGCTTTTTTAAGTCATTGTGTTATATAAATATATATATATATATATATATATATATATATATATATATATATATATATATATATATATATATATATATATATATATATATATATATATATATATATATATATATATATATATATATATAGACATATATATATATATACATATATATATATATATATATATATATATATATATATATATATATATATATATATATATATATATATATATATATATATATATATATATATATATATATATATATGTTAATCATTAACTATTTGATCTTCATCTTTGTTTTTTTAAGTCATTGTGTTATATATATATATATATATATATATATATATATATATATATATATATATATATATATATATATATATATATATATATATATATATATATATATATATATATATATATATATGTATATATTATATATATATATATATATATATATATATATATATATATATATATATATATATATATATATATTGGTTACAGAAAATCAAATCAAAGATTTCATGAAGTACTTTCGTGAAAACTGGCCAAACGCTTCAATCACACCAAAGCTTCATATCCTGTACTATGCATTACCTTTCATTAGAAAATGGGGAGTAGGACTAGGTACTTATGGAGAGCAAGGTGGAGAAAGTATTCATGCTGAAATCAACCGTATGAAGAGTATCTACTGCCATATGAAAGGAGTAGGTAGATTAAGAAGCATAATGAATGAGCATTTCATAAAAAACAACCCAACTGTAAAAAAATACCAAAAAAAAGCTCAACCAAGAAAAAGAAAATTGTAGATACTAAAAATAATCCGATAAAATACTGCAAAATGATTTACAGATAATAAATGGCAGTAATAAAGCCTCCATAATATTTCTGTCAGCATTTTTAACCTTTTAAAAAAAACGAAAATTTACCAATCTTTAAAAGCATTATATTATCACAAAAAAAAGTAACCGGTTTTTGATTTTTGCTTTAAATGATTCACAAACTATTATATTTTCAAAAAAAAATTGAGGTTGTCACTAAAAAATTTAAAACTTTAGAATATAGACTATAATGTAAGCACAGGTTAAACTTCGCCTAAAAAATAGCTAAGTTTTAATTTAGTCTTACTTCTATTCTCTTTGTAAAATTATTTAAATGATAGCTTTGATGACACATACCATACCTAAAGTATTGTTTTAATATCATTTCTTATAGGCAATTTAGAAATATCTACAAATAAATCTAATTTAAAGTTTAGACAACTCTATTAGTAGTTTTCTGTTTACTTGCGAACATTATTGTTTACCAACATTTGAATAAAATATAGCGCGTGCGCATAATAAATGTCTATTACTAAACCACCGTGTGGGAACTAATATTTCAGGCGGATCTAATATTCTACTACATATTTCCTCTGAAGCAGAAAACCTTTTAATTAAAGTCTATAAAATTTATACATGATATCATATATTTGCAAAGCAAATATTAAACATAACTTACATTTTGTATATTTAAATATACAATTTTTGTAAGCTTATTAATTTGTACAATATTTTTTCATCTAAAAGATTTAAGTTGTAAGTAAAACTTTAAAGATTTAGTATTTTACTAATTTGAATTATGCATAAACTATTTACTTCTTCATAATTCAGACAGTTGATTTGATATTGTTGTTAAACAGTAGCTGGCCAAATTATTTGTATGTATAAATATAATGTATGTATAAATATAAAAATAACTTGCTGCCAAAAGTGTTTTCTGATATTTTTACATCAATATTTTTACAAAAATACAATCTTCGTTCAAATAACAACCATAGCTATCACTTGAGCATAGTGGAATTGCAAGTGTCGAAATTCTCAATTATTAACCAAGGCCTGTCATTATGGAATCAATTAAAAAAACAATATAAAAAATTTGAAAAGCACTTTCTCTTTTAAACAACAAATGAAACTGCATCTCTTTAATTTCTGACATATTTGAAAGTATGTTTGTATATGTGTGTGTTTTTATGGGTATATGTATATATGAGTATATATGTATATATGAGCTTTTCTTTATTCTTCACAGAGTATTTAACAGATGAAATATTTATTGTAAATTTTCTAAAGCCATGTGGGCTTTAAATGATATTGTGAAGGGGCTCTATGAAAAGATTGTGGTGACACCAGTTATCCCCTGTCTGTTTTATATATATTCTTTGTGTAATGTAAAAGTTTCATTGTAATTTTATTATTTTATTTTTATATAAACATCAAAATATATTTAAAAAAATATATTTAATATAAGCTTGTTACTGTTTTAGTATAAGTTTGAGTTCTAAAAAAATTATGTAAATTTTTTTACTTATTAGTGTTTGTTATTGTTATCATAGGTCTTTCAAATAAATTAGTATTAATAAAAATAAAATAAAGCTCCAAATTTTTTATACAAGATTTTTTTTGCAGGATTTTTATGTTGTGGTAACTTATCTCCAGAATAAGTTATCAGCAAAAAATGTGTTTTTTCACGTTTTTAAAAAGATCATTGAATGTGGATTAATTCAATGTTTTTTTATGTTTTTTTTTTTTTTTTTTTTTAATGTTTTAAAAATTATTAATTTTAAAATTTTTGTATATCAGAGATGATGTTAATTAAAAGATTAAAGATTAAAAAGATGAAAGATACATTCCGTAATATTTAACTATTATGCTTTCAATAAGTTTTGATTAAGTTGCCTATTTTTGGTTTAGTTTTAAAAAAAAAATTTTACATGGTGACCAAAATTTTATTTTGATTACCAAGCAAAAAAAAATGGTTTAAAAAAATCAAAAGCAGATATTTCAAAATCTTCATAACAGTTATATATATAAAGTATGAGTTAAACATAAAAAAATAAAGAGTTCTTTTGTGAAAATTTTTTTGTTTCGTATCTCTTCATGTAAAAAGTTCTTCTTTGACAAATAATGACAAATGAAACTAAAAAAAAATGTATAAAAACTCTTTAATTACTTCAAAACAAGTTAAAATCTTTTTTCTAAAAAAATTTTTTTACAAATAAAACTTACTTTTATATGTTTGAAATATTCATTTCTTTTATTCTTTTTTTCTGTAAGTTAATCATTTTTTTGCGCTTATTATTGATTTTTGTTCTTACTTTGTGAAGATCAATTTTATAGTGCTCACTGAATTCTTTTATTTGCTTTAATGCTTTAAAATGAAAATTTTAAAATATGTTAACAATTTTATAATTAAATTTGTTGTGTGTTTTTTATTACTGGGAGTGTGTTGAATATATTTTCATTGAAATGGTAGTACTATTTTAACCAAAATAACCCCTTTAATATTAAAAACTCAAAATTTTAACAAAGCATTTTAAATTTACCCAAAAAATACTTCTGGTCTGCTCCAGTAATAAATGAGCCAAAAACACTGTAAAAATGTTTTATTTGTTCTTTGCTCCATTGAAAGTATGAACGCCCTATAATAAAATTTTTATCTAATAATTAACAAATACCATATAATAAAATTATGATAAAATTTAAGTTTAAAAGTATAATATAGTTTATATTTGTCATCTATATCATATATTAAAGCAGATATTATACCAGTTTTGTTTTCAGCTATTTTATTGTTTAGGAGCTCTGTTTTTTTTTTTTTTTTTTTATACAAATCTGTTATTAATAGAATAATTAAAATTAAGTGAAAGAAAAAAATTGAATAATGACACAACAAATATAAATACACTATAAATAATGTAACAGGGTGGCTAGCAACATGGAAAACTTGGAAGTGTCTAGGAAATTTAATCAAAAAAGTCAGGGTAAAGTTGAGGAGTTTATTAAATTTTACAAAAGTCAAGGAAAAGTCAGAAAGTTTCAATGGTTCAAAAAAAAAAAAATTTAATTTTATTAATTTTTTAAATCTTATTACAAAGACAAATTTTATCAAAGATTTTTCTTTGTAGTTATACTAAATCATTCTATATCAATGTTAATATTTATTAATTTACTTACCAGTTTCATTTTGTTCATTTAGATTGAGTCTTATTATTTTTCCCTACAATAGCAAAATACTTATTACCCACTATAATCATAAAAAAAGTAAAACACGCATAATTGGTATTGTACTTACTGCTTACTGTATCAAGCATCCAATCATTGTCACAATCATCTCCATCATCACTTGAGTCATCAGTGTGATCCTTCCAGTCTGTTTTAAAATATTATTTTTATTTCATAAAACAAGTACAGAAATAAAATAAATTTAATAAAATGTATTTTTATTTAAACCACTGGTTGATGGTTGAGGCACTGTATTGATAGCATTCATTTGTTTACCTTAAAAAAAAGTTAAATATTAGTCATTCAATCATGCATACATTGGTCAAAATTTGTAGCACACCTCAGATGTGCTTCAAATTTTGACAATCAACAGATTTTATGTAGAAAACTCAACCCTAAAATACTAGATCAATAAAATCAATTTATTCAAAAGTTATGAATCAATAATAACCAAATTAAAAAAAAAACAAATTTAAATTGTCTGAAATTAAGTTATATATAGTTATATATACCAGTTAAAAATATATAATCCATCATTTAATTCAGTTCATATTTATAATAATAATGTCTTTAATTTATTTTGTATTATTCAGTCTATTAAAACTATTATATTGTAGTGTCTTTAATTTTAATTTGTATTATATGTAAATATTAAATATTGATGATTTTATTATACCATTTGTATAAAAATTATCTTTTTTTTTTGTGTGTGTACATGAGAGTATTACAAAAATAAAAATCTTAACAGATTTCTCAAGTTATGTTACTATTAACCAATAGACATCACTATAATCTACCTTTAAAATTGTATTTATTGGCAAACACTGAAACCTCTAGCTCTCCACATGAATCCCAATTATCTGCGTTTTCATGCTCAACATGTCTAAGCAACCTTCTTCCCTAACAATTATCTTCTCTAATTCACCCAGTCAGATATACTTATTTTTCTAATCTCTGTCATTTGTGTAAATTACACAAATAAGAGATAAAAAAAGCTGTGTTATTATTACCAATAACAGTCACAAGATCTTCAATGCTAAATAGATAGAGTACTTAGACAATTGGTCATAAATTGGTTAAAACTTGATGGTTTATAATTAGTCCAAATAAAATTTAGTTTATTTAAATAAATGCTATGCATTAATTTTGGATGAGTATCTTTGTTTTTATTATAAATTTCAAGCAATTTTAAATTTAAACTCCACATTTCAATGAAGTTGATTTATATTGATTCTTTCATTACCTTTCAATAAATTGTTCAGATTAGTTGAAATATTCAGGGTTTAATTTTTACACAAGATAGGCAGTTGATCAAAATTTAAAGCAAATCTTACTAATCAGAATTTTTAAAATACAAGGTAATTTTATATATAGACTCTTGTGGTTACTGTTTAAATTGAAATATTAAATCCATATAAAATCAGCAGAAAAAACAAAAAAATGGCTTGTTATTATACTTATGTTATAGTTTTGGAAAAATTTTATAAAACTTTTTGAAAATTTAAAAAATCAAAAAAGTTTTTGAGATGTTTAGGTATAAATTCTTTTATTTAATTTTGAAATTTTTACAATTTTTGATTTACCAAAATAAAAAAACACTCAATTTATAATAGTTAATAAAACAGAAATAAGTGGACTTCAATCATCGTTACAACTAAGGAAAACTTTGAAAATACAAATAATTAGGAATACCAATATGTGAACATAAAGAAATACAATTAACTATAGAATAACTTTGCCAGGAATAAGGTGCTTTCACCATTTTATGCCAATTAACTTTAAATTAACTTTTAGTACTTAAAACTAATATATATGTAATTTTGTCATAAATAAGTTAGCAGGTGTCGGGGGGAGTAAATGAGCGCGAGAGCAGAGAAAAGATCTCCTAAAATGAACATGGCGAGCCATGCGAGCTGCTCCTCTAAACTACTTTTTACGAGAGCTTTTGATTTTTGCACAACCTATTTTTTACAAAATGGTTTTATACTTGTTACAAGCATATGTTTGTAACGTTAATGTTGCATTAATATACACATAACAAGTGTCATTTATTGCATCATGAAAAAATTCTTCAGACATAAAATTTGCATTTTCATTTTAGTTACAATGATAGTTATACTTTAAGAGAAAAAATTACTATCGCGAGAGCTGTAAATCACTTCCGTAAACCTTTTTAGGGGAGTGTGGGCAAGAATTACTTTCTGTCTGCGTTAGCAACAAATTTTTTGTTGACTAAGCATTTAAATAAGCTTTATTGATTTAATGGTGAGCACATATGATCACATTAGTATACAAGATATTTTAGTTTTTGTTATATTTTTTTATGACAAGAAGCAATTTTTGCTGTAAAAAAACATAAAATAAAAAAAGTCCTAAAATTTAAATTTGGGCGGCGCTTAAATACAGTGGATGCTATCAAAAACGGTCTAGATAGCAAAATCTTTATAATTTCACTATGTGCAAGTGGGTGCTCACTATGTTTCTCAAATTCAGGATGAACTACACGTAATTGGTCTCATACTTACTGCTTACTGTATCAATCACCCAATCATTGTCATAATTTTTGCCATCACTTGAATCTTCAATGTGTTCCATCCAGTCTATTTTTAAATCTTATATTTTTTATCCGATAAAACAAGTACACAAGTAAAATATAAAAACTAAAAATTAAAAAAAATTAAATATAAACCACTGGTAGATGTCTGAGGTACAGAATTGATGGCATTCTTTTGTATCCCTTTAAAATAAAAATGAAAAATAAAGTTTCTTTGAAATCTACTAAAATAAGAGTTATAGCAAAATTGTTTTAAGAATTTTATTTTTTTAGAACAGTATCAAAAAAAAAAATGTTCTTACCATTTTCAAGATCCATTAAATGTCTACCAACTTTTAGTATTTCTAGTAATGCTGGTGGAGCTTGATACACATTTTGGTTAATGGCTTGGCTATGTCCCATATGTTGGTAAAAAAGCTCTCTTTCTTGTGGTGGTAAATTCAACATTGCAAATAGAGTGCTTACTCTGCGACGATTAGATGTTGCAGTAAGTTTATTTGGTTTTATTAAAGTGTTTTTTATTTTCATGCATATGTCATGCAGTGCATGCCAACCTGAAACATGATTGGTACTATTTTTTGTGCTGGGGAAAAGATATGGATTATTTTCCAAAATACCAGCTTCTTTCCTAATCTTTAAATCAGCTAATTTTCTAAGGACTGCAAATGAATCTAATGGAATTAATACTGGTACTAAATGGTTGTTTCCCTAAAGAATAAGATAAATAAAAGGCAACAAAAACATTAAAATAAAGTTTAATAAAAATTACACAAAAAAGAACTTTTTAATTTAGTTAACTTAGTTTTAACGTTATTGCATGATTTTAGGTTTTATTAACTTAACTTTTAAAATTTCACTGTCACTGTTTACATTAAATTAACATTCTTTGAAGTTATAACTACTATTGGCATTAGTACTAATAGAAAAACATAAAAACATTATTTTTATATTATTTGTTTTAGATCCTTTGTTAAAGGGTTTTGTTTCTAAATTTATTAAATAAAAAATTTTATAAATATATTTATATTATTAAAATGTTTTTTATTTATTTAATATCTCATAACTTATTAAACTGAACTTATAATTTAACTTGAATATACAAATTATCAACCTTCCCAGTCATATATGCAACTTGTATTAAGTTAGCTAATTTTTTATCAAGTTGATTCAGCTCTTTGATATGTTGTGGTTTAATCTATGCACCATCTTCGGCATCCTTCCAGTCATTTAACAGCAACCTAGTAATATTGTTTCAGTTTCAGTAAACTATTTCTGAATCCTCTCAAAAAATGTCTTGATATTTTAAAATAATGTAAAACTATTTATTAAATGAAAGTTACTTTTAATAACTTTTTTAAGTTGGTTTGCCCAAAAAAAAAAAAAGAATTTTTATTCTAAAGTTATTTATTTTTGAAAAAAGATTGCAATTTCACTTTAAACATTTATATATAACACGTAAAAAAAAAATTTTTTTTATGTATTATAAATATAACATTATTTAAATACTCTATAAAACTACTTGAAAGATTTTAATAAGAAAGAATTTTTATATTCCTGGTAATCAAGTGTTACAGTGGATGATCTTAATCAAATGTCAATTAAGGCCGATGTTTTTTGAATAGAATTTTAGAAGTTAACCCATTTTTAAAGTACCAAAAAAGTAATAAACCTTATTAATATTTTTGTCTTATAAAAGAAAATTAATATTTATTCATAGTGGTCAGTAACCTGACAGTTTCTGACCAATATGGTTTTTTTATCACTAAATTTTTGGAATTTTAAACCCATTGGGAATTTGGCGTTATTTTTCTTTGAGCACCCTTATATTTCTGCTAGAAATATAAGGGTGCTAAATATAATTCTAAATTTTGTCATTATATATAACTAAAAAGTTAGAGTACTTATCAAATTTATAAAAATGTCAGGGAATTCTTATATATTAAATTCATTAAAAAACCATATAAATGTGAATTGAATAGTGTTTGAAATTTTGTTTAATTATTAGTGTTATTTGTAAAGAAGTTCATGAGTATCACTAGGGATTTCTTGATACAATTTAAAATCAGTTTAAATATGCACAGTAGTGGCTTAAACATTATGTTAATAAGTTTATCTTCTGAATATAATTTCAACCTAAAAAAATTAGGGAAGAAGCAAAATAAAAATTGTTCAAAACTTTTTCAAAAAAAATATTTTTTTGCAAAATACAAAATGATTTTATCTGTGGTCTTATTTGTGAAAATTTATAAATCTTTTTTTAAAGAAGCCTATAAAGGTTTTCTGTGACATAAGTTTAAAATAGATTTTAAATACTTTAAAAATTTCTTCAAGTCAAAATTATGTTTAATCCCTGAAATTATTTTTATTTTAGTCATAATAAAAAATTTATTCAATAGACTTGGCCAGGAAGGTGTGCGATTTATATAACCACAGGTTATATAAATCGCACACCTTGCACACACAGGTGTGCCATAATATAACCACACAAATATTATTTAATTTTATAAACTTGACCATGGCTGTTGTTATATATTGTTTTAAAATTTATGTACATTTAAAATTTGTATACAGATGTTTTAAAATTTGTATACATTTTAAAAATGCGCCGAAAAAGTTTAAATCAAAAATTAGAATTAAAATTAAAAATTTTAAACTTTATTATAAAGAAACTTGAAAAAATACTTATCCAAAAAAAAGCAAATAAATCTTTGTAAAAAAAAAATAACAAAAAGTAAATAAAAAAAACTTAACTAAAACTAAAGTCAAAAAAATAAAATTAAAACTTACTAAAATAAATTGTAAACTATAAGGATAAGATTATTTAAGTTATGTTTGGAATAAATAACTAAGAATTGTTTTTATTTACTAATGTTTTTATAGTATAATATTATGTAAAACTCTTTTAAATAAAGTAACAACTTACATCAATTGTTTGTTACATCAATTACAACAAAAGAAAAATTAATTAAATCATTTCTTTAAAAAAATTGATATTATTTTCTTATTTAAAGACATATATAATATAAAATACTTACTTATATAAATATAAAAAAATTATTAGCAGTGATTTGTTACTTTATTTGAATGTTTTTTAATAATATAAAAACATTATTAAAGATCAAAGTTATTTAGTTCAAACGGCTTTCAAAAAAGTTTTTCTCTTTTTTCTTCTCAACAAAATCTTTCTTCTCTTTAAGTATATTAATTTTAATGATACTTATATAAAGTTTATTAAAGAGACAGTCGTTATTTAAAGTTGTCGCTTATAAAATTTAATTTATTTTTCTTAAATTAGATTTACTTTAATTGAAATCATTAATTAAAATTATTAAAACATTTTGCTAATATAAAAATGTTAGTAAAAATAAAGGTGTCAAAGTTGTTGAAAAGAAATCTTTTTTTATTTTAGCGCATTTTTAAAATTTTAAAGACCCTGGTTGTATATTTAAAACAAAATATTATTTGCATGGTTTTAAAAAGGCTTGTTTTCTCAGGCATTCTTTGCCAAGCCTGATTAAAGACTTATAATAGTAATACGTTAAAGGCAAACCTAATAATAATCTTTTTAAATAACAATAATCTATATAATTAATATATATATATATATATATATATATATATATATATATATATATATATATATATATATATATATATATATATATATAATATATATATATATAATAGTAATACGTTAAAGGCAAACCTAATAATAATCTTTTTAAATAACAATAATCTATATAATTAATATATATATATATATATATATATATATATATATATATATATATATATATATATATATATATATATATATATATATCTAGCTGGTTCCCCACCACGTCTGGCATTTAGCATAGTAAGACGAGTGCAAACCATGTCGCAAAGTTCGATAAATGTATGGCTGTCCCAAAAAATTAACCTGTCATTCATTATACTTTCTATTCGCTGAGGAATATAATTTTGAAGAACTTGGACATCTTTTTCTTCTGGCAAATTAGTTGGTCTCCTAAGTTTTTGGTGACGCTTTTTGTTTATGTCATACTCAGCATCACCAAATATATACCCTTTCCAAGTTTCAAAAACAGATACAAACAAATTAATATCTTGCACTTTTTCTAAAACTAATTTATTATTTTCCTCATAGGTTAGATTTTTATCATTTTGTGTAAGTATTGTTCCCTTTACAATCTTTGCTGCTTTTTTTATTAATGAGGAGAGAACAATTTTCAATCCTGATTTTAAACAGTTTTCTGATATAGTATATTAATCAATGGCATTTCTTAAAACATCAAAATTAATTCGATTAAACATGTCCATAGAGTTACTATAATTTTTATAGACTTTTTTCATTCCTTCTGAAAATCGAATAAAGATTTCCAAGTCTTCTCATGTCGTTTCGGACAGATTTAAGAACTTCTGAAGCTTTATCGCATTTTCTTTTCATTTTGTCATATAAACGAAGACCAACAGTTAAAATGATATCGTCTTGTTTGCAAATTTTACCAACATCATCATTTCTCATATTTCCAAGAACATTTGTAACAAATTCGTTTGGAAATGATGAAAAAAAATTGTCTTTTATCAAGCTAAGTGGAATATGAATGGTTGATTTTAAATTATTCACAATTTTTGCTGTGTCTACTTAAAAAGCGTTTCGAAAAAAAGCCATTGCAATGTCCACACATCTCAAGATTTTCTGCTGTGTCTTTACAAGTCTTTTTTGCCTTTCTCTCTCTAAATTGATTAATTAGCAAAAGATATTATAGCATGTTAAAATTGTGTCTATTTAGTAACTAAAAATAAAGGAGATGCAAAAATGCAAAAAATTAAAAAAAAAAACAATATTTTTAATTTATTCAAATTATGTAAGAGTTACAAATTTTGTTTCAATAAGAAAGCAGATACTCGCAGAAGTTCATAAGATCTTGTCATTGAGAACCACGTAAACAGATTTATTATAAGTTATAATGAAAGATTTCATATATATATATATATATATATATATATATATATATATATATATATATATATATATATATATATATATATATATATATATATATATATAAATATATTTCAATAAAAGATTTCATAAGACTTTTAATAAAAAACAAAACAAACTTAAAAATATATAAGAATGTTTTCAATTGAGAAAAGAATTTTTTTCAATTTTCTATGAAATAAAAAATTATTACCTTTGAAAGTTAGGATTTAGTTCTTTTGTTTGATCAATGTTATATTTTTTTATTCCTTCTTTTTTAAATTTATCAAACATTTTTAGTTTTTCTCTGTCTGGAAGATTCAAAGCTGATTTAACAGTTTCTATATCTTTATGTTTTAAAGTTATATGTCTTGTTAATCATGATTGAACTTTGTTGCAAAATATACAAGTTCTGCCTGGTTTTTTTTTCATTGACTTGACCTAAAGCAATTTGCAATAAATAAAATAATTAGATAAATAGAAATTTATTTTTTTTTTTTTTGACTTTTTATTTAAGTTTTATATAGACAGTTGTGGAGTAATTCTGTGTCAAAAGACTACTCAGTAAAATAAGAATTCCTTGATAGTTATAGCCTCTAGCTAAAAGAAGATCAGGAAATATGATCATTTTATTTTTAGTAGATATTGACTGGGCCCCACTTGTCCTCTCATAATTACAACATTAATTCAGAGACATTAATAATATTTGATCTTTTTACTTAAAGATTTTTAACTGTGTATTTTTAGGAGTGATAAATCCAATGAAATGACCAGAAATGTAAAAAATTATTTTTAAGTGCCTTTATTTATCAATTTAAATAAATTCAGGCTATTTTTTATATACCTGATTTTAATGCTCAGAAAACCTATATGACCTTGATTTATTGATCTTTTAGAAAACATAAGGATTTTGATTTGCATTTACATTGATTTCCATATATGGATAAAGAGACCCATTACCCACTTTTTTGTAGCGGAATATTTCATTACTTCACAAACTAGTTGAAGCTCTGAAACTTTTTGAAGTTTTTTCTTGGTCCTAACAACACTAGCTCACTAGTTTTTCATTACCATTTAGTGTTTAAGTTGCTTTAATTATATTAAGTTGCTTTAATTATATTAACACTAGTTTTTCATTATCATTAGTGCTTTAGTTGCTTTAATTATTTTAAGTTGTTTTAATTATATTAACACTAGTTTTTCGTTATCATTTGTGTTTAAGTTGCTTTAATTATATTAATTTCTTTTGGTTTCTCATTATTAATTTTATTTGGAATACAACTTCGTAGTTAGCTTTGAAATAACGTTCGAATGATTTTGGTAAACTGTCAATCAATAACAAATAAGTTTTATTATTTAAGATTAAACAAAAATATATGGTTCAAAATTTTTGTTTTTACGTTATATATGAAAACAATATATGTTTGGACATGGTATTATCTTTCAACTTTCAAATTAAAATTTTTATTTATAAATCATTATAAAATTTATAATATAAAAAAACCTTGGTGTTACTCATTTTTGACAAATGAACTAATTTCTCTGGGTGAAATTCTTTCTTATCAAAATCTAAATTAAAAACTTTTTAAAAATATTATCAGGATATGATCGACATGGTGTCAAATTATACTTATTTTTAAATTTATTAATTATAAATTTATTTTAAAATTATAAAGTTTTTTGCACCAAGAAAAAATAAAAAAAATTTAATCCAAAAAAGCCTAATTATATAAGGATTTCAAAATTTTAAAAAGTTCAGATATCTATTCTATATAAAAAATTGTTATTCGTTATTTTAATCTAAATGGTTAGGTTTTTTTAATTATATTCAAGCAATACCTTTTGAATTTGTTTCCTCTTCGTCCAAATCTGTGTCTTTTTCTATAGAAGAACAAGCATGTACCTAGATAAACATAAGCCTAAGTTCATTTATTTTATTTAAATAAATATAGTGTGATATATTAATATAGGTTGATTTAAGCAGTCACCAATTGCAATTGGCTGAAAGAAGTTTAAATCTTGAATTTTTCTAATTAAAGAAATGGCGATGGGTTTTTTTAAGTATTAAATAAATATTGCTTGCTAAATTGAATAATTTTTTAAAATAAAATATTTCACTTTAAAACTATTTATTTGTAAATTTAAAACACCTGATTATTTAAATGCTATGTAATCATGGAGTTGAAACTTATAACTGATGTTTACACTTTTTTAACAACGTTATTGAAAGAAATTACTTTTCTTTCTTTGAGTTTTCTTAAATTTTGTATATTATTTTTTGTGTAATTAACCATGTCTTTTAAGTGCTCACTAGGACTGGTATTTAATTTTTATTGTTTGAAGCAATTTTTTTAATACTTAAATTACTTATTGTGATTTTTTTTGTTTAACTTTTTTTTAAATGTAAGCAAGATGTTAAAGATATTTTTGTTTTGAAAATTATTGAATAAGTGTAAGACTTATTTTATATTTATTTTAAATAATTTTTTTTTTATATATATATATTAAATAATTGTATATGTAATAAATAATTATTATTTCAATAATTATTCATAATAACTTGTTTATGAATTGTGTAGTTCTTTGTATTTTAATAAAGTATTTATAATGTCGTGAATTGTTTAGTTTTGCAGTTCAATTCTTTTCAGTTCTTTGCAACTTCAATGCAGTTCTTTTTATTATGCAAATGTAATGCTAATTTATAAAATATGACATGCAAAATTTAACTTTTACTTAAAGTTAAAAGGTTATTAGTACCTTATGTACTTTATAAATAATCCCTAACACCAATTAGTTTACACTATGTTATGCTATAAATTTTTAATGATGTTTAAATTTTTTTTAGTGTAAAGCATTTTTATTTTTTATAATATGACTTTTTTTAACTTTAAATTAAAGCTCATTTCATTATTTTTATGTCTTTATATAACTCATTATCACCATAAAACTTTCTATTGTAATCTATCTTTAAAAAGAAAGAGGCAGGGGAAAGAGTTGTTTTTTCCACACAAAAAGCTAACGATCAAACAAATTTGAGTTCTGACAGACGCAATCTTCAGACTTGATAATTTATTCTAGCTATCTATTCTATGTTTAATTAACATACAAGTTTATTCATTTAATTTTTTTTTTTTTTTTTTTTACCTACTATCAGTAAATCGTATTTTTCTATTATTAATTTTATAAACAACGATGACTTTAATTAACACACTATTTAAAACTTTAAGTTATGTAAAACATTTTTTCGCCATGTTTCACTTTTAAGTCATTGGTTTCAACTGTTGAGCAATTAATATTTTAACTTAAATTTAAAAGGAGTTTTCAAAGAATATATTTAAGAATATATTTTATAAATTCCAGGACTTTTTCAGGATTTTATGATAAAAAAATGAAAATTTCTAAGGCTTTCCGGGACACTAGTCAAATTCCAGGACTTTCAAGGACTTTCCAGGACTGTGGGAACCCTCTGTTAAGAAGATCATGTTTAATAACTTTAGATTCTTTACAAACTTGGGATTCAAAAAAGTTGTCTTGTGCCACTGAACGACCATGAAGGTACACTACTGCTAAACTACTGGTTTGTTTGTCATTGACAGTTAAAAATATAAGTTTAGTTTAATTCATGCATAGCATTGCATAGAAAAAAAAACCTGGACATCTAATTAAAATCAACATGGTTTTCCGAATCAGTATCACAAAATTAACCAGAAGTATTACATTTCTAGCATAAAATTTGCACGGATAGTGTTACACTTTCTTTTCTAACAGACAGTTTATATTTACATATATATAAATATATTTTTTAATTATACATATCAGTGATTTACCTTTGTTTTGTTTCTTTTTTGATTTTTCCTTTTTAATTCCTGTAAGGGTTTAAGTATAAGTTAATAAATAATATAATATATTTTTAAAATTTGATGTAAAAAAATTTACTTCAGTATGCCAAATTAAATTGTTAACACCGTAAAAGTATAGTATTTCTTTATTTGGCTCTATATCCTTTAATGCAAACAAGCATTAAGATGGAGTGTTATTCAATACAACTTTTTTCATTATAGCATTTGGATAATATTTTGAATCATTGAAATAACGGCCAATATAATTAAAATGAAATGCATCAATACTAAAAAAATCAATAAAACATTAAACATCATTTTTTTTTAGTAAAACAGTAAAACTAGTTTGGTAAAAATTAAAGCTACCTGTACTAAATATTATTGTGTAGAAAGTCATAAACATAACTACCAGCATTAGTTTTTTCATAATATTGTATTTTGTTGTTCATTTCTTTTTTTGGCACTAAGTCTCCTCTGTATTGGGCAATGAATTGACCTTTTTGAATTTTTTCAAAAGAAAAGACGCCAAAACCTATATAGATAATGTTGATTTAATTGGTTTTTAAAATTAATTGTTACATTGTTATACCTTTTTTTGAATGTTTTTTATATAATTGAATTTTAAAATGACATAAGTAAGCTTAAACAGCTCTTTCCAAATCATAAGATATTTTGCAGAAAATGATTGTAAGTTTTAATGGGACACCATTATTAGAAAACAACAATCCCAGCTATAAGTGCACTATCATTATTATATATTTATATTTTTTTCTTGTTTTTATGCCCAATATCTGGTTGTTGTTAAACCTATTTTTAATGTTAATTTATGCTAAATATATTTAAAGACACAATCAAAATAATAATTCCTAATAGTGGTTCGAACTAAGCAAATGATATGTATATTATCATATATTCATAGTAAAAATTGGTTTAAATCTCCCAGAAAAAAAATTGGAAAATCGTCAAAAAAGTTTATGATCAATTGAGTCACTATAATAATAAAAAAATAATTTATTTACCTTTTGTTTTATCTACTTCTTTTTTGTATAAAGTGTCTTGGTGTTTTTGCATTTCTATATAGTGTTTTGCTGTTTCAATTGGAGAAATACGTCTTTTCTGTAATAGTGTTTTTTAAAACTATTATTCTTATCGTAATTTATAATTTCAGAAACCTGTTAAGAGTTCTTTATGAAAAAATTAAACTGTTTCCAAAAAACAATTTGGTAATTTTTTTTTTTTTTTAAGCAAAATAAATTTTAAAAGCTTTTTAAAAAAGTGCTCTTAACGATTCTCTGAAATAAATTATTTAAATTGTTGTCTATATATTATATTATGTTTTTAATCAATTTTGTTTTTTAAAAGGATTTTTAATTTTTTTTAGCATCTGTACTTCCAACAAGGCTACAAGCTATTGAAACTCAATATTGAAATTCAATGTTTTAAGTTGCTTGAAGAGCCAAGATTTTGGAAATTTTATACAATTAGTTAGTAAGAGTAATTAAATAAGATTAACTTTACGAAATATTCACAAACTTAATAAATTTCAAATTCAAATCAATTTTCAAGTTTCAAATTTTTATTTTGAAGAGAACTATATCAAATTTATATTGTTTTAGGTGATTTAGTCATTTCATAATCTCATTGAGTCTATTGAGGAAAAAAAGGTACAAATATTTTATTGTATTATATGTTGTACGAAAAATTCAATTTGTCTTCATCAACATCAAGGATGACTAATTCAAAAAAATCAGGGGTTTTCTATGTAGTATTTTTCCTACAAAGTAATATATATATACAACCCTCGGAATTAGGAAAATTGAGGTCGGCAATAATTTGCCGACCTCAATCTTTTAGAGGTCGGCATCAGGTCGGCAAATACAAAAATCTTACCAAACATCGAAACGAGGTCGGCAAAACCGAATTTTGTTTGCCGATCGCAAACACGTTTATGTCGGCATTGCCGAATGCCGACCCTAAATCCGAGTGTTGATATATATATATATATATATATATATATATATATATATATATATATATATATATATATATATATATATATATATATGGTGATTTCATTGATATATATATATATATATATATATATATATATATATATATATATATATATATATATTATATATATATATATATATATATATATATATATATATATATATATATATATATATATATATATATATATATATATATATATATATATATATATATATATATGGTGATTTCATTGGATTGAGGGGTCCTTCCTTAAACAAACACCTCCCCAAAAGGCATCCCAAATGATAGTTTTAAAAATTAAAAAGTATATTTGTGAAAGACTTTTTGTTGTAATTAAGACTAGCATAATAGTAATAATGATAATTAATAATAATATTTTTTACTCTGTCAGTAGTAGGAGTAGGAGAGTTCTGGCTCATTTTTATTTTCAACCATATTTTCAACCATATATTAATATTAATATATGGTTCATTATCATCCATAATGTGTATAAATTATATAACTAAGAAATAAATTTTTTCAATTTTTAAAAATGAAAAAATTGAATTTTTAATTTTTAAAAAATTAGTATCAATTTCATTTCTTTGACGTCAAAGGTCACGAAATTTTCTTGCATGATGTCACAGGTCACGTGACTTTTTTATTTTGTTCTTATGCATAGTAGAAGCATTGTCCTATCAGTGCAGCATAGCTCCCAGATTGTCCAACTTGTGCATCACCAGAGTTGAGTGTCACTACCATTCTTCTACTACTACCAACGCTAGGCATACTTTCAGATGAATTAAAGTTTCTATAAAATGAAATTGTAGTTGTTGGACCAATTGTACTAGTTGATTGATTCAACAATCCTGATGTCTCATTATTAAATGAGCTTACATTAGATCCATTCCATGAAGAGAGATAAAAATCTTCAAAACCTGATGAAGCGTAGATGCATCGACTGTTAACATCATATCCAGAAAATGTAGTATATCCATTATTATTATAAGGTGTCCAAGGTTGAATGACAGAGTTAGTATTGGTAGGAGCACCATATCCATCATAGATGGAAACTCTAGATTCCCACCAGTCTCCAGATCTTCCAACAACATGCATTCTAATGTATTTCAAATACACTCCGTTTCCATTATCCATAACATTCATTAGCCTTTGTATAGTTGTATTTACAAGTTGTATTTACATAACATTTAGATATGTAAATACAACTTATTACCATAAGTTGTATTTACATATGTAAATTATTGATGAGTACAACTTAATAGATGAGATAGATCGAGGTATTAGAGGATTAACACTAGTTAATGTTTGTTGTAACGATGAAGTTCTTGTGATAAAAGGTTGCAACCTAAAGGTCACTGAATTTCCTGTTTTATTGTATAATTGTATATTCAAACTTGTTGTAAAAGGAAGATCAAATGTAAAATATTCTCCTAATGCACTTGTACTAAATACATTACACCCTTGTAAAGGGTTTGCATAATAGGATCCACCAAGTGGTGCAATTAATAAATCACAAGCTAAAGCTGTATTATTAATACCTACCCCATCTGTTACAATAGAATCATTACCTATGCAAAGTACATTGTCAGCATATATTTTTAAAAACAAGTTATCTGGTACAGTATTAGGTGCATTAGTAGATCCTGTAAATGCAATCCACAGTTTTTTTAGAATTCCTGAACTACCACTATAGCTAAAAATAGTATATGATCCTGGAGTTGCATAGAATGCTTGAAATTTTTGTCCAAAGTATATTAAACTTGTATTGGTAATGATATCTAAACTTTGATTTTGCATATCATCAACATAGCTCTTTGTAACTGCATCTTGTGCATCAGTAGGATTAGCTACATTGATGAGTTTATTTGTATTTAAATTTATATTAGCAGTTGCAGGATTATAACCATCAGTTCTTATATACATACTGCTAGAAATCTGATTATTATCTACATAATGCTTTGTAGCTGCATCCTGTGCATTAGTAGGATTAGCTACATTGATCAATTTATGTGAATTCAAATTTATGTAAGCACTCATACTATTAGTTCCATCTAGTTTTAGATATGCGCTGCTAGAAGTTTGATTATTATCTACATAATTCTTTGTAGCTGCATCTTGTGCATCTGTAGGATCAGCTACATTGATCAATTTATGTGAATTCAAATCAACATCAGTAGTGGCTGTATTGCCAACATTAATGTTGATATTTAATCCATCTGTTGTGTAACCATACATTGAATTACTACCGGCTATATTCATACTCATTTTTTATATACTATATATATATATTTTAATTCAATATAATGAATTTTCAATACTTTGAAAATCAACACCTTCATCAAGCTTTTTTAATACATATAAACACAAGTGTCCGCAGGAAAAGGAAGTGTCTCCAAACTGAATTCTTTTACTATTATAATAAACAGGACTGGGTAAATATTGAACAAGTTCAACTGGAGGTGGTAATGCATAAGAGTCAAAACTTAATTTCTCATCTCCATCTTTATACCAACAAATCCAATGAAATCCATTCGTACTTGAATCTCCAGTATTTAATATTCCACATTCTTTGTTTTGTGTATTTTTAGGTAATTCATCTCTTACAAATACACCTCTAAAATTTTTAATTTTTAATTTTTTTGCTGCTTTTATTAATTGAAAGTTGTTAAGGGTACATTGGGTAATATAATTCCTTCAACATTGATATATTCATCCATTTTATTAATAGTTTTAGATTTATTTAGATCTCTTCAAGATATAAAAAATTACTTACCTACCTGTTTATTTCCAATCAATCTGAAATGAAAAGTTAGGCTTAGGTTCTGAAGGAACCCAGGCTTTGCTGTCAATACTATCATTTTCATTCCAATCAATCTGAAATGAAAAGTTGGGTTTAGGTTCCGAAGTAACCCAGGTTTTACTCTCTTTTAATTTATAATGTCCATATGCTAGGGTATGAATTCCATCTTCTAAAATAACTCTTTTATCAGCTTATGCACTCAATGCTATTTTGTTTATTTCTTCTGTACAAACATCATGACAATGAGATCTTATGACATTCATTTTTCTCATCTGTTCTTTTCTATTCATAAGACAGTCTTTATAATCTTCGTGTGTAATGTAATTTTTAACTACATTTCTTTTTACTCCTTTACATCTCTTTTTATCTTCTTCATCTATTCTGTAAGAATACAATTTTGATCTGAGTCCTAGAAATTCTGAAATTTGTTTTCCTGCTGACTCATCTTTAAACTTTGCTAATACTTTCTTATTTATACCTACTTTAAATCCATTTTTAACAGCTGGAAGATTCGGATCAAATTCACTTGTATCAAATTTACTTTCAATATCATTAGAAATATCTTCATAAAAATCTTCTGTTTTTATTTTATAGATTAATGAATCTGTGTCTGTGTATAATAGTTTAGCTCTATCTTCATATTTATCTTTTATGTAATCATAATGAAATTCATACATCAAAGTCTTACTTAAATCTAAAATACACATGCCCAAGTAAATGGGTTTATTATATACAAGTTTTGTTCTTTTCATATGTATTGCAATTAAATTTTCATCAAAAATTGTTCTACTTTCATAATTTGGTTTTGATGCTAATTTAATAGCTTCATCTCTTTTAGAAACTAATCTCACATCAACTCTGTTTTCAATGTTTTCCATTGTCTTTCCAAACACTGAATTGTTCATAAGTTTAAAAAAGTCTTTTTCAAAATCATTAGTAGCTTTTGTTCTTAGATCTGTATTGAGTTCAATGTAATTACTCAACCATGCACTTTCTTCAAACTTTATTCCTCTGTGAATTTTTGTTAATTTCATTCCTAATCTTTCATAGAGTTTCAAGTTTTCATAGTGAATGATATAATTTTTCTTATGGTTTAAATTTGGTACTAATTTATCAACTTTGTCTATTTTTAATATTTCAGGAGCAAGAGGATAATCATTATGAACATCATGTAAATATTCAGGATATTCTTAATCTACTTCTAATATACAAGAAGTAGATTTCCAATTTTTTATTCTTCTTCATCCATCCATTCAAATCCATGTGTTGGAAGGGGTTTACTCATTGCCCATCCATATAAATTATTTGCATCTAAATATTGTATATATCTAGATTCTTTATTTTTATCATAATTTTCCATGTATTTATTATTAGCAGTTCCTAACCTGTTAGAGACAATACTAATTCCACCTCTTATTCCTTCTTTTATCATTAAAATCATATCATAATCACTTAATAATTCTAATTTTACTTTAGTTATTAACAATGAAGCATCCCATGCTAATCCTGGTGATGTATTGTACCAAGTAGGATCTATTTTGTAATTGTTAAAACAGACATCTCTAAAATTTTCAAAGACATCAGCTAGTAATAATACATCAGATTTGTTATATAAATTATGGTAATCTCTGAATGTTTTACAATTAAACTCTTTCCACACAGTTTGAGCATGTGTGTAATCTTCATTACTTATTCCTACTTCATTTAATCTTGAATAAAATGATTCTTTTGGTGGTAGTTGTGTTTCATTTAACTTATCAATAGAGTCAACCCATTCATAAGGATAAACACCTTTTCTTAACAATAAATTGAGTTCATTTCCAGAATAGTATTTACCAATATTCTTACATTGATCTTTTGACAAAT